CACCAGCACTCACAGGCACCATCCCAGGGTTAACCTGGAATATGGGAATGGGAGTGCTCCCAAGGCGGAACTGCATGAAGGAAAAGCCACTTCAGTGTCAAACTGCTTTGGTGTTGGCTAAAAGAAACCTCTGGAAGGTTTCAATTAAATTATTTGGAGTATTTTTTCATGCCCATCAGCCATTAATTTGAAAAATGGGAGTTGGTGCAGGCATGGAAGGATGGGATCCATGGGGACACCCAAAGCATCCCAGTGGTGCTGCTCCCATTCCGGTGCCTATGCGTTCAGTGAGGGATCAGCTCTCACCTCACCCATTCCCTGATTTTGTTTCCAAATCCAGCTTGAAAATCACTGAGGAAAGGAGAGGAGCAGCTGTGCCCAGCAGTGTCACCAGCTGCCCAAGCCATGCCCTATCAGCTCATGCTGCAGGCACCAGCAAGCTTCCAACAGCTCCTGGCTCAGGATAAAACTCAGGATACAGCTCAAGGAGTGACATGGAGACAGCTTAAACACCCAGATTCTGAAAGAACTCAGACCTCTGGAGAGCCTGGACTTTTTGGGATATTCAGCCTTCCTGAACTCAGGGCACAGGTCTGAACCAGGAGCAGGAAAGCCTTGACCATGTGAACACATCCCTGCCCCTGGAAGTTCCCTCCACCAAGAGGCAGGGAATGCTGCAAACTTACCATGGACACATGCCTACAGCTGAGTTTAGCTGGTTAGGTGTTTAATTAGCTGGTTAGGTGTTTAATTAGCTGGTTAGGTGTTTAATTAGCTGGTTTTAGTTGCTGAGGCCTTCTGTTCCTACCCTTGTCATCCTGCTCCCACCTTTCACTTCACCTACAACTGGGAGCAGGTCTCCCAGTTGTTGTCTCCAAAGATTTTATTTTAAATAAGTCACTATCACCTTTCTTTCAGCCCACACTGAGCCTGTCTTCCTCCTCTTGGGAAGGAAAATTAAGCCTACAGCACTTTTTGAGGACAAGAATTTACCTTTGGAAACATACTTGGAGTTTGCAGACAAATGTGGTTGTAGTAACTTGGATTCTAAAGGTTAAAAATAAGCATTAAGTTAATCTCTTATTCTCATCATTATTTTGCAGTCCAGCCAACTGAGAGTACAAACAGTTACAGCAACAAAAACTGATTCCCTCCTCCTCCTCTGTCCAATTCTGCCATCTCCCAAAAGGCAATTCCCCCCTTTTTTCCCCAGTTTTTTTCTCTCCTACACCTCTGATTACAACACCCACCAACGCAGCGGTGTCAAACACACACAAAGAATTTGGCTTTTCTGGGATCAGGATTGAATAAATTAACAAAAAAGAGAGATTGTTGAGGTTATTTCCACTTTTAAAAAACACTTTGGGCTGGAGTAGAAGCTCCAAGACAACTTTTAACCACGGATTTTGACGCTGCCGCTCGGAGTTTGTCCCGGCTGCGTGTTTTCCTGGAAATTGAGCAATTCCTGGTGATTGAGCAGGAATTCCACCCCCTCCCCACATTTTACCTGGGTGGTCTGTGCATATCCTTGGGCTGGCTGAGGTGCATAGGCGCTGTAGCTGTGGAATGAATGTAAAGACATTTATAATCTTGCCCCAAATCTGCATCACCAGACAAATTTTCAAGCAGCCCACCGGTGAAATTCTATGAGAATTCTCAAATGAAATGAGCTGAAATTCTATGGGAATACAAAGCTGCAGGAAAACCCTCAGGATTTCCAAACATACCTGAGTTAAGCCCAAACCATAATTATGATTTACTTTCATTACATCTTTTTAAAACAGGGAGGATAAGCTACTTACCCCTGCTGAGCTGCAGCTTGGCTATAGGTACTGTAGTCTAAAAGAAAATGAGAAGAAAAAGAATAAAAACATTGATAAAGGCTTAACAGAATTAAAGAATCCAAGAGCACAGCAGCTGGAATTTCCTCCTGCAGCTTGCTATAAACCACTGGAATTCCAGTTTCCCAAGGGTGGAAGGTAAATGCACATTTTCAGTCCTTTTTTTTTGAGGGGAACAAAACCTCTCTTCCCCTCATTGTTCCTGCTGTTTGCAGCAGCGACTTTGATCTCAAATGACCCCGCTTCAATTTAACTGCCACCTTGGATGGATCCCAGGGGGCTGGCAGGGGGGGATTTGGGATGGAACAAAGGAAAAACAGGGATTTGAGCCTTACAAACCCCCCAGCCTGCTTTGAAAGGGCCGGGCTGGAAGGTTTCACCACCTTTACTCTTTCTCTTTCAAGGACACAAATCGATGGCTGGAAAGCCACTTGTTCACTGCAAGGGCTGGAGCTGGGAAGCTGGAAGTGATTCCCTCCCCAAATCCTCAATCCATGTCAGCACACTGACTGGGAGGAGAACCAAAATCCTGAAAATCCAAGCAGCAAAGCCTGTGCTGAACTGATTTGCTGGCAGAGATGGAAAATGAATCCACATGGCAATTAGGAGGCTAAATTTGAAACAACTGCAGCTCCCAGTTCCCTCATAGCTCCCATCCCAAGGTCTGGAGCAGGGATGAATTCATCATTCCTGGCAGAGCTGGCCAGAGATCCCAGCTCTCCCAGGACCACAGAAGTCCTGAGATCAGGAATGAGCCCAGAACTTCCTGGTCGAGGCCACAGCACCTGAGCCAGGGGCAGGAGATGGATCAGTGGAGCTGCTCCCAGACATCTCTGTGTGGGAAGAGCTTCCAGTGCTCCCATCACCATCACACCTTGGTCAGAAATCCAAGCTTATCCCAGAATCATGGAATATCCTGAGGTGGGAGAGACCCACATGGATCAAGTTCAATTCCTGCATTGGAGAATTTGAGGAAGCAACTGCCCAGCTTTAATGCCATTATCCCACCATTCCCAAGGCGATGGAACCCCAGGAATCACTTGGAAAACATCCACTACAACCTCCTGCTCCTCAGCCTGTGCATCCATCCCTACCCAACCCTTCCTCCCCACCCTCCAGGTACACTCCCAGCTTTTCCTCCTACCCCCCGTGCAGAAGCAGAGCCCCTGGATCCATGCTGGAGGCAGGAATGGCCCTGCCATGATCCCAGCAGGAATTCCTGGGAGGTATTAATTCCTTAGACCTTGCCCAGAACACCTCACATGGAAAAAGAAGATACTTGGAGTTCTCCAAAGGCTTCCCCACTCCTGGGACACAAGGCACAAGTTGTTAAACTCCTCTGGCATCATTCCCACTTCCCTCTCAGGTTGGCATGTGAAATATTGGAACATTTTCCTTGTTCGGTTCAGGGCTCTGTTTTGTTTCTTTTTAATTCACTTACACGTGGCTCTGTTAAATCCTGGTCCCCTCACCCAGCTTCCCTTTCCTACCACCCCCTCATCCCACTCCACTCTTTTCCCTGCTCACCCCTCCAGCCACCAAAACCTCATTTAATTCTCCATTTTCAGCCCCCTTTTGGCCTCGAGCTGCACACAGGGGCATCAATTAACCCCTCTCCTCACAGCCCTCCCCCAGCCCCACCTAAACCCAACATTTCTCCCTCTGTAGGACTTAATTCCAGGTGTGGAATTTGCAGTTTGCCTGTGGTGATGCCTCTCTTTTAATTTGCTGGGATTTAGAGACAGACAGAACATTAATAAAAAATAATATTATGGTTCATTTAGTTAAACCCATCTCCTGGCTTTTATTTCCAGGGGGAAATTAATCTTCATCCTTTTATTTCACGAGGCTCAGGAGCACACCAGAGGCTGAAAATAGCAGCTCCCAGGAGGAACAATTCCATGAATTAAGGGAAAACACAGCTGTGGTTTTAACCCCCATTTTGACAATTCCGTTGGCAAATTTTCCTTTACTGACTTTTCTTTTTCAAGCTCCCTAAGGTGCTGTTGGTGATATTCCCTCACACTCCATTGCCTGGGACATTTTCCTTTCTGAAAAAAAAGGAAAATCCTCCTTCTTTAAGGAGAGTCAGATTCTGGGCTGCTGTGCTTTGAGTTACTTTAAAAGTGATGCTGCCACAGCTGGGGAGTCTCAGCTTCCAACTCTTTGTATCAAGCTGGAGCCCACGTGGAAAAACATTTCATTCAGATAAATCTGGAGCCACGGAGATGATGGAACTTCTATGGAACTTCTACACTTCTCTATGGTGAAAAGCTGGGAGAGAAGGCTCCAGGGAGAGCTCAGAGCCCCTGCCAGGGCCTAAAGGGGCTCCAGGAGAGCTGGAGAGAGACTGGGGACAAGGGATGGAGGGACAGGACACAGGGAATGGCTCCCACTGCCAGAGGGCAGGGCTGGATGGGATATTGGGAAGGAATTCCTGGCTGTGAGGCGCTGCAATGGATATCCCAGAGGATGCTCCATCCCTGGAAGTGTCCAAGGCCAGGCTGGACGAGACTTGAAGCACCCTGGGCTAGAGGAATGTGTCCCTAGCCATGGGATGAGCTTTATTGTCCCTTCCCTCCCAAAGCATTCCACGATCCCATATTTGCACCAAAACCCGCCCTGCGGAGCTCCGGGAGGGCCAAGAGCGCGGAGGGAGCCCAGGCTCGGTGCTCCGCTCCCGGGAGCGCGAACTCCGAGAATCCCGCGGGGCCGCAGCTCCGAGGGGCCGCAATTGAAGCACGGACACTGAGGGGAAACAGCCGCGGCCCCGCCGAGGCCGCAGCGGGCGGCGCGGGGGCACACGGGTGGGACGGGCCCTGCACGGCACTGCACGGCACGGCCCGACCCCAGCGGCCCCCGGGCGCGGCGCTACGGGCCGGCGGCTCCGCCCCGCCGCCCCTCCGGCCATGCCGTGGCGGGAGCGGCGGTGCTGCCGGGGGTCCCGTTCCGTCCCGTCTCGCACCCCGCCCCGGCCCCGCTCACCCGTCGACGCCATTTTCTCGCCTTCCTCCTCCGCGCTGCCCGCCCGGCCCCGCCCCGCGCCGCGCATGCGCCGCCGGGCCGCGCCGCGCGCACCACCCCGCGGCCGGGGGGGACCGCCGGGAGAAAGCGCTGCGGGAGCTCGGCCCGCCCCGCTCCGCTGCCTGCCCGCCGGTTTTACGGTCCCCGGAGAACCAGGACGGCCCCGCGGGCGGCGGCCGCCGCTCCGGAGCGCGTTTCTGCCGCCTCGCTGGGCGCTCCCCCCCCCCGCCGGGCGGTGGGATGGTACGGCCCGCGGCCGTTAGGGACCGTCGCGCAAGAGGCGCTCGGGCCGCGAGGCGGAGCGGGAGGCGCGACGGGCCGTGACGTCACGGGCGGCGTAGTGATGTCATTTCGGCGTAGCGGACGGTTCGGGGCCGCTGTGACGTCACGCACCGTGCCCAGCGGCACGCGGCATGCCCTGGGTGTCACGCGGTCGCCCGACGGCCCTTCCTGGCATGTGAGGTCACTAGCTAGCACGTGACGCCATGGGCTGTATGTGACGTCACCAGATGTCACAGGTCACGTGCCAAGAAGTGTCGCCGCGGGTGCTGGCTGGGGTCCCGTGCTGTGCCACGTGGTGAGCATGGCGGAGTGACCGTGCGACGTCGCTGTGTGACGCTTCCAGCGGCGCGTGCCATGAGGGCACGGGAGGGGGCTCAGGGACAGCGTGTCCTGCCTGGAGCAGGGGAGGTCCCGGGGTGTCGTGACACGGGAGGTGTCCCTGGGGTGACACTGCACGGATTGGTGTCACATCGTGGCTGGCTGTCCCATGGCACAGCCCTGGGTGTCCCTGAATCCCATCCCATCCCCATAGGGAAGTCCCTGGCGCACCAAGCGACTCCACAGGACACGGGTTTGGGGACATTTAATGACCTCGCGGGTCCCAAAGCAGCGAAGCGCGTGGCGCAGTGGGGTCCCCACCCGGTGGGTCCCCTCCTCCAGCCCCCCCAGTCCCCACCTCCCAGCCTGGGGTGCCCGGGGGGGATGGGATGAGCCAGAATCCGTCCCCTCGGAGCTGCCCCTTGGAGAGGGGAGGGGACAGCAGTGGGGCTGGGGACACCCCTCGGCCTCCCGGGGGCTCAAGCAGCGGCGATGGGGGCGAAGCGGGGGGCGGTGCCGTGCCACCAGTAGCACCAAGAGGGGGGACGGGAGGTGACCCTGTCCTGCTCCCCAGGGTGGCACAGCGGGGGTGACCCGGGTGACGCCCCCGGTTCTGTCACGGCTCTGGGGGCGCCCGGCGGGGGGAGGTGACGATGCGGTACGGGGGCTGGCCACTGCCACGCTTGCCACGGGGCACCCCGGGGGTCGCCGTGCTGGTGGCACCACTGCCCGAGCCGGGCTCTGGCTCTGCGGGAAAAGAGAAAAGGGATGTCAGGGGGTGGGATATCATCCCCCCCTCCAAAAACCCCCAAATCAGCATTGGGTGTTCTGCCCCACAGAAATGGGGGTCGTTGCCCCCCCGTGGCTCTCAGTGTCCCCAGGGGTTGGGGACACTCCCTCGAGGACCCCCCAGCTGGCACCCCTGCCTGGCACCCCCGGCTGGAACCCTGTGGAAAAGCACAGCTGGAATGGGGAGGGGGGATGAGGGTGGGGGGCACCCGCTGTGCCCTGCTGGGCATCCTGGCACGGGGGGGTGGCACCGGGGGATGCCCTGGGACAACGGGAGCTCCGGGAGCTGCTTCAGTCCGAGAGGGTCCCCATGGTCTCCCGTGAGCCTGGGGGGCTCTGTGAGTCTCCCTTGGCTTGAGGGGGTCTCCATGGTCTCCCTTCTCCAAGGATTTCCTGGGGAGCTCCTGGGTTCCCCTTGGTCCAAGAGGGGCTCCGTGGTTGCCTCTCTCAATCCAAGAGAGGCTCCATGGTCTCCCTTGGTTCCAGAGGGGCTTTGGAGTTTCCCTTGGCCTTGGGGAGCCTCCATGGGTCCTCTTGATCCAAGAGGGGTCTCCATGGGCTCCTTTGGAGTGAGAGGGCCTCTCCATGGTCTCCCTTAAACCTTGGGGAGCCCCAGAGTTTCCCTTGGCCCACAACGATCTCCAAGGCTGCCTCTCAATCCAAGAGGATTTCCATGTCTGCCTCTCTCAATCCAAAAGGTTCTCCATGGTTGTGTGGCCAAATCCAAGAGGATTTCCATGGTTGCCCCTCTCAATCCAGGAGTATTTCCATGGTTGCCCCTCTCAGTCCAAGAGGATTTCCACGTTTTCCCCTCTCAATCCAAGCAGGTCTCCAGGCTCTCCCGTGTCCCCGGAGGTCTCCAGTGCCCGTTCCCGGTGGCTCCAGTCCCCCGTGCTCCAGGCCCGCTCCCGGGGGTGCCGCGGCGCTCCAGGCTCATGCGGGGCGGGGTGGAGGGTGGTTACCTGGCCAGATGATGGCTTCCAGCAAGGTGACCCTTCTAGCCAGGACCTCCAGCCGGGCCTGCTGCCGCAGGAGGGTTTGGAAGCTACTGGCCTGGGGGAGAGGGAGAGAGCAGAGCAGAGCAGAGCGCGTTGGCCCCGCGGCGGGCACGGCACGGGGACACGGCACGGGGACACAGCACGGCAGGGGTGGCACAGCATGGCGGGGACACGGCAGGGGTGCAGCCCCAGCGGGATGGGGGTGCTGGGGCACGAGGAGGGGGTGCCAGGTCTCCTAGGAGGGTCCTCCCGGTCTCAAGGGGTGCCGGGGGCTCCCCCATCCCTATGGGGACAGGGGGGTCCCTTGTGCTGGCCCTGTGGCAGACACTGCTGGCTTGATGTCCCTGATGGGGATACTGATGTCCCTGACCTGGGGGTGCTCCCTCTGCCACCCCCCAGCACGTTGAGCCCCCTGACATTTGGGGGGACACATCCACAACCTGTCCAGGGGGGACACTGGTGTCCCCAGCTGGGGGTGCTCCCTGTCACCCCCAGCACAGTGAGCTCTCCAAAACGTGGGGGGACACGTCCCCAACTTTCTCAGAGGGCCACCAGCTTGTCCTCAACATTGAGATTGTCACAGGTGTTCCTGCCCAAGGTGGGCAGTCCTCAGGGGCTCTGGGATGCCCAGCTGGGAGTGAGGATGGGGGGGCCCTTCCTTTTAGTGGCCCCCAATGCTGGACATGATGCCACCATGTGGGTGATGACATCATGCATGGCTGATGTCATGATGGCCAAGGGTCACCGTGATGTCATGGGGGCCTGGTGACCTCCTGGCAGGGATGGGGATCCCCTCCTGGAGGGGGTCACCCTGCTGTCCCTGTCCCCCCCATGGCATGAGGAGGGGCTGCCAAGGGTCCCCTCCCTGCAGCTCCATGACATCAGTGACCCAAGGGCCACCATGACGTCACGGGGACCTGGTGACCTGCTGCTGGGGGTCACCCCGGGGGTCCCCATCCCCCCTACTCACCGTAGAGCCCAATCATTGTTTCCAAGATTAAAACCCTCTCCGCTAAAATCTTCAGTGCCTCGCGGAGCTGGTGCAAACCCTCCCCCTGGGGAAGAGAGGGACGGGGTGAGGGGGGGCTGCACCCCAAATGGCCCCAGGCCACCCACGTGGGGGGGACACGGGGAGCCCCCGGCTCATCAGGACACCAGGGGAAGGAGTGGGGGTACCTCGGGGGTCTGAGCCCACCCTGTGCCCCATAACCCTGTTCAGGTGACATTGGCACTGGACACAGCCAGGGACCCCCAGTGCCACTCTTGGGGTGCTGGGGATGAAACGTGGCACTGGGCAGAGCTGGGGACACCCGGGACATCACTGGAGTGGCATGGATGAGGTATGGGGCACATTGGGCATTACTGGGCACCCTCTGCCATCATTGGGGTCCCAGGGAAGAGCTGGGGACCCAGGGACAAACTGTGGGGGCAGTGAGAGCAAGTGGGGACCCTGAGGACATCATCGGGGTCCCAGGGACGAGATGCAGAGGACAGCAGAGAGGGTGTGGGGGTCCCCCCGGTCCCCCCGTGCCCATCACCCCCCCAGCCCCTGTTGGTACCGTGTTCCTCTCCCGTGCCCGGTGTCCCCGGTGTCCCCGGTGCCACTTACCCACGTGCCCTTCTCACCCGGCTCACCCCGGGGGCCCGGCTCGCCCTGAAACACAGAGAGGAGAGGGCCTGGCAGCGGGGGGCACGGGGGGCTGTGCCCGGGGGGGCCACCCCAGCCACCTACCTGTGCCCCATTCACCCACCTGTGCCCCACCCACATACCTGTGCCCCGTCCTGCCCGCGGCTGCCCGGGTGGCCCTGGGGACCCTGCGGAGGGACAGAGCCCATCAGCACCCTGGGGGCACGGCCAGACCCCCGCCAAAGGAGATGCTGGCACACCCCGTGGCTGAGACCCCCCCAAACTCCCCCATGACTGCATACCAACCCCCCCCCGACTCCTCCATGACCACACACCAGATCTCCCAACCCAAAACCCCCAAACCCACCCAGAGCCTTGAACAGACCCCCCAAATCTCCCCATGGCCACACACTAGATCCCTCAAACCCAGCCCCAGCTCCCCCACATTTCCCCCCAGCCCTGAACCCCACCCCCTAAACATTCCCATGGCCCCCAGCCCCATTCTGGGGGTGGCTTTGGAGAGAGGGGCACAATCCAGGGGACACTGCCCACATCCAGACCCCAGGGTGGGGTCCCAGCTCCCTGTCCCCACAGAGGACAGTGCCTTGGGGCCACCCAGCATGGCAGGAAGGGGTGTCTGGAGCAGAGGTGGCCTCCAAACCATTCCCCTGTGTTGCCACCCCACCCTGACACGGCCAGCACAGGGGACACCAGCAGCTGCCCTGGTGGCCCTGGGGACCTCAGAGGGGAGACAGAGCCTGTCAGAACCCCTGGGGGGCACGGCCAGCCCCCCTGGGTGACACCCCCAGCTCGTGTCACAGTGTCACTCACCCTGTCCCCCTTCTCCCCGGGGGGGCCGGCAGCTCCGGGTGCTCCTGCTCTGCCCTGTGCGGGGACAAGGTGGGGACATCAACCTTGGGGGGACACCGGGGCTCAGCCCTCCCCGTGCCCCCCACCCCAGCACTTACATCGGGTCCTGGGGGCCCGGGGGGACCAGTGGGACCTGGGGGGCCGGGGGGACCTGCAAGGAGAGGGGACACAGCTCAGCCCCGCTTTGGGACACCCAGAAGTGTTGGGGGGTGACAAAGGAAGGGGGGGACACCCTCACCCATTGGCCCCACGGGTCCGGGAGGTCCCATGGGACCCACGATGCTCCTGGTGGCTTCAGTGAAGGTGTTGGAGAGGACAGAGTCCCCTGGGGGGAGAATGGAGGGGGGTGTTTGGGGCCTGGCCCCCCCATGGCTCCCAGCATCACCTGGGGACACAGGGGGAGCACATTCCCCTCCCCTGCTCTCCCCCATGTCTTGTCCCTGTCACCCCAATGATGGCAGGAGGTCCCCAGCTCTTCCCAGTGCCCTACACCTCACTGCTGGGATCCCAGTGTTGGTAGGGGGTCCCCTAGAGTGGTCAGTGCCCCCCACCTCATGCCTGCAATCCTGATGGTGTCAGGGGTCCCTGGCTTTGCCCAGTGCCCCACACTTCATCTCTGAACCCCAATGATGGCCTGGGGGTCCCCAGCACTGCCCAGTACCCCACATCTCATCCCCAGGACCCCAGTGATGGCCTGGGGGTCCCCACACCACCCCCAGCCTCGGTGATGCTCAGACCCCCCCACCCTGGCTCTGCCCCAACCCAGCCCCCAACTCATTCCCCTTCTTGGGGTCACACTGGGAGGGGACCCCCCCAGCCCAGCCCCCCCTTACTGGGCTCGGCCAGTCGGGGAATCGCTGGCCCCACAGGGGCAGGGGGGCCGGGGGGGCCGGGGGGCCCGGGTAGCCCCTTCTCTCCGGGGAGCCCCCTGGCTCCATCCCGGCCCGGTGGTCCTGGGGGGCCGGGGGGACCTGCAGGGAGGAAGAGGAGGGTGAAGATCGGGGGGTGCCCAAAGCTGTGCAGCGCTGGAGCCCTTCCGAGCCCCCAAACTGCTGCATGGCCCCCCCAAGATCTGCCCACCAGGAAAGGGGGGGCTCGGCTGGGCCAGACACCAGGCTGGGGCCCCCCCACACTGCCCCCCTTACCTGGTGGTCCCACTGGACCCTTCACTCCAGGAATTCCCGAGGGTCCCCGTCCTCCCACGTCGCCCTTGGGGCCGGGGGGGCCCCTCCAGCCGGATCTCCCTGCGGCAGAGCAGCACCCTGAGGGGGGACCCGGAGCACAGCCCCACCCACACCCTGTCCCCACCATCGGCCACCCCTCCCCAGAGCTGGCCTGTCCCCGCGGGTGGCTCCGTGTCGCAAATGGGGACAGCTGGGGTGGGACAGCTTTGCTTTTCTCCCAAACTGAGGGGTCCTGCACCCCACCCCGCCCCCGCAAATACTGACAACACCCAGGTACGTTCCCAGCCCTGTGGGTGCTGCCAGGTGGCACTGTCACTGTCACCCTGCCTTACCGTCATCCCCAGGGCTCCCACGGGCGGCCGGGGACCCCCAGAGCTGCCCGGCCTCGGGACCCCTGCCCAGGCTGCTGCCTTTGGGTGCTGCTGGGGTGGGGGGCTCGGCCACAGCCAGCCGGGCCACCTGGCAAAGACACAGCAGGGGTGGGTGACAGCAGGGGGCACAAGGTGACCCCCAGGGCTCTTGTGCCCCTCGGGGAGTGCAGGGGGAGGTGGCCAGACCCCAAACTGGGACTTGCCTGCGCCTCGAGGGTGGCGAGCCGGGCTGTGAGCTCCCCCACACGGCTGCAGTTCAGGCACCCTGCGGGGGGAAATCGGGGGGCACAGGCGGTGGGGTGGGGGGCACCCAGCCCTCTGTGCCCAGCCCAGCGGGTTTGGGGGGGGCACCCACCTGAGAAGGCCGTGGGGTGCAGGGGGGACCGGCGCAGGGCTGTGTTGGGGCGCCCGGGGTCGCGCAGGGTGAGCAAGGTGTGAGCCTCTGCCGAGGAAAGGGGGGTCAGCACGGGGGGACCCCCCCGTGGGGCATCGCCTCCTGTGGGAGACCTTCCTGTTGTACTTCCCTCCAATGTACTGGGGGGTGCAGGGCCCCATCCCTGCAGTGGGTGAGCCCCCAGTCCCACCCATAACCCTGAGTCAGGATCCCCCAAACCCAGCCAGACCCCCGCAAACTCTCCATGAGCACACACCAGATACCCCCAACCCAAACCTCCAAAGCCACCCACGGTCCTTAACCAGACTCCCCAAATCTCCCCATGATCACCCCCGCAATCTCAGCCCCAAACCCAGCCCCAGCATCCCCCAATTCCCCCCCCTCAGTTCTGAACTCCACCTCCCTACACAGCCTCGTGTCCCTCAGCCCCATTCTGGGGGTGGCTTTGGAGTGGGGGCACAATCCTGGGGACACTGCCCACATCCACACCCCAGGGTGGGGCCCCAGTTCCCTGTCCCCACAGAGGGACCTTGAGGACAGTGGCTTGGGGCCACCCAGCACGGCAGGAAGGGGTGTCTGGAGTAGAGGTGGCCCCCTGAGCCCCCCCACGCTGTCACCCCACCCCGGCACGGCCACCGCCGTGCTGCAGGGGACAGCCCTAAGTGGGGCCAGATGTGGGGCAGGCGGCCAAGCACGCAGGGAGGAGGAGGAGGAGGAGGAGAAAGAGGAGGAGGAAGAGCCCCCCTCCACCCCCAGCGCTGCTCCCACCCAGCTGCCTGTGGACCCCCTGTGTCACCCGCTGCCCTGCAGACCCTCGGTGCCACCCCAGGGTGTCCCCACCCGTGGGTGCCACCCGCTGCCCTCACAGCCCTGGATCCCAAGGAGCCAGAGCCGGGCTGGGACCCCCAGTGAGGTCCTGGGGGAGAGGGAGGAGGAGGAGGTGGATGTGGTGACAATGGGGACAAAGACCCCCTGTCAGGAGCTGGCAGCACCCGTCCCCCCATGCATGGCACAGCCTCACACCCATTCATCCACTGCCCACCCGAACACAGCCACTTGTGGGTGGGGGGCTGCACCCCCCGTGGGCACTGCCACACTGAGGAATGTCCGTCTGTCCATCCACCCACACCCCATCCATCAGTTGTTCCAGTTCCCCAGCCCAGGCACAGCCCGTTGCTCACTCCCACCCACACGGCTGTCCATCCACTGCCCCACCCACCGGGATCTCTCTCCAGCCCTCCACACACAGGGACACTCCCTCACCCACCCAGCAGGTTCTGACCTGAGTTCTGTCCACTCACCTGTCCATCCATGGGCACAGCCAGCCAGGATTCACAGGAACATCCACACACTCACCCACCCATGGGAGAATCCTTCTGCCCATCCATCATCCATCCATCCATC